CCCCAAAACCCCAAAACCCCAAAACCCCAAAACCCCAAACCTCATTAAATTATTATAAATATTTCAAATTAAATTTAAAATGTCAGACGACCCCAAGGCCCCTCCTGGGCTCAAACTTGTCTTCAGGACCAGTGGTGAAATCCTGCCAAACAACGATCGTACAGAGAAACTCATGGAGATCCGTCTGCAAGAAGAAGCCCGCCGTAAAAAAGAGGAGGAAGAGAAAGCTATCCTCCAAGAAAAAGAGAAGAAAGAGAAAAGAAAAAGGGATGAAAACAAGCAGCGTGACAAAGAACAGAAGGAAAAAATGAAAGCTGAGGAAGAACGTAAAGCTATACTTGAGAAAGAAGAGAGATCCCGGCTTAAAGGCAAGACCAATATTATCTCAGAGAGGCTGCAGAAGGACATCTCCCCTTCACAGTACTCTCTTAGTGGCATTGAATTTGATACCAAGAACATTGAGATTATCTGTATTGACTTGATTAAAAACCAGAGCTTGAAGTGCCTCCATATCAGCAGGAAGAGACTTACCGATAAGGAAGGAGAACTGCTAGCCAAAATGCTCAATAAAAACGTAAATTTGTTGAAGCTCGAGCTTCCAGGCAATTTGTTCGGACCCAAAACTGCCATGGAGTTTGGCAAAGCCCTTAAGGAGAACAAGACCTTGAGGTTCTTGGACCTGGAAGACAACTTCTTAACGGACTCAGGCACTAGTAATGATGAGGTAAAGGCATTAGCAGACTGTTTAGCAGTGAACCAAGACCTGCTGCATCTTAATTTAGCAAATAACGGTATGAAGGAAGACTGCGGTGAAAAATTTGTCAACTGCACTAATGTAAATACCAACCTGATTTGCTTCGAGTTCGGCATGAACAACTTCTCCCTCGAGCAGACTAGAGAAATCCAGGATAATCTCAGAAGAAACAAGAAAGCCTACGATGACGAGAGGTTCATGGAATGGAAGGAGAGGAAACTCATGGCTGAAGAAGAAAGATCCATGAAGATCCTCGACACTGTCCAAGAGAAAGACAGAATCATGCAAGAAGAAGCCGAACTCAGCCGCATCGCCAGAGAAAAAGCTAGAGAAGCAGCCTGGAACGAGTTCATCATGGAAAGCGAGCTTGAAAGGCAGAGATTGATCCAAAGACTCGAAGAAGCAGCCAAAATGAGAAAAGGCAAAAAGAAGGGCAAGAAAGGAAAGAAGAAAAAGAAGTCATAAGGGAGGTTTAGTTAACTCTAATGGGTTCAATAATCCTAGCATGAAATGGGGTTTTGGGGTTTTGGGGTTTTGGGGTTTTGGGGTTTTGGGGTTTTGGGG